GTCCAAGAAAGAACCCAAGCCGAAGAAACCCGCTGCACCCAAAAAACGCAATTCTCCATCTCATCCTCCTTACTTCGAGGTATTGAATTACAATTCAATTTTGTTTCATTTTCATCGGTTGGTATTTTACGAAATTAGATCTGAAATTTTGGTGGGTTTTGTGTGCATGCAGATGATCCAAGAGGCAATTGTGTCATTGAAGGAGAGAACTGGATCCAGTCAATATGCGATTCAGAAGTTTATTGAGGATAAGCAGAAGAATCTGTCGTCTAACTTTAGGAAGCTTTTGCTTTTTCACTTGAAGAAGCTTGTGGCTTCTGATAAGCTGGTTAAAGTCAAGAGCTCGTACAAGCTCCCACCTGCTCGTTCGTCGGCTTCCAAATCTGCCGCTTCTGCTCCGGCTAAGAAGAAATCGGTTCCTTCTGCCAAGACTAAGGCCGCCGCCAGCAAAACCACCAAGGAGAAGAAGGCACCGCCTTCCAAGGCGAAAGCCAAGCCAAAGGCAGCTGCTACCAAATCCAAAGCTAAACCGGCTGCCAAAGCTAAACCGGCAACCAAGGCTAAGCCAGCTGCCAAATCCAAGCCGGCTGCAAAGCCTAAGGCTGCTACGCCGGCGAAGCCGAAGCCAGCCCCCAAAAGGAAGGCTGCGGAGAAGCCCAAAGCTGAAAAAAAGAAGCCGCCTGCTAAGGTTTCAAGGACATCGACAAGGTCATCTCCAGGTAAGAAGGCGGCTCCGGCTCCCGTGAAGAAAGCAGCGACTCCTAAGAAGGCGGCTCCGGCGGCAAGGAAGGCCCCAACAGTAAGGAAGCCTCCGGCAGCAAAGAAGGCTCCGGCCAAGAGCACGAAGCGAACTGCGAAGTCTCCGGCGAAGAAAGCAACCCCTGCAAAGAAGGGGAAGAAGTGAGAACGAGAGAGGGCCTCTTTGAAAGAGTTGTTTGTTACATGGGTAGTTCTGTAAATTTATCTTGGGTCCTTTGTAGTGGGAGTATTTGCATCTTTAGCCCATATAATATCACAGAGTTGTCTTTCACCCCCTCTTTCCTATATTTTTTTAGAGTTCTTTCTATTTATTTTGAGTTTTTACTTTTTAGAGATTTGACACAGTGCTCTGTTGTACTTATGTGATGTTCAAATCTATTTCAAAATGAATGAGTAAAGTTTCTTTTCTGATTTTATGATCTTCTTTTCGCCTTTTTTCTTTTACTGCTTATTTTTAGGGTTATGATTCTTACAGTGTTTTACGCGCTAGTTTAGGTTTTACTCATGGCTGGCGGTGCACGTTAATGGCTAGGTGTGGCGGAGTTTCACGTGTTCCACACCGAGAGGACATAAGTTAGCATGTGGCGTCATTAACAACACTAATGTCGATGGCGTGAATCAGAACCATTTTCTGTGTGCAAGGCACGTATTCTTTGTACGTCATATTAGGTAATCTCTGGACTGTTTCTACTTCAATTCTCTATGTTTCTTTTGCATGTTCTCCGACTCTGTCTTCAACAAATTCCCAACAGCTCCCGCACTGATCAATTAGCTGTATGTATTGCCTGTATTTTTATTGGCATATAGTATATTTATCTGTTTTCCCTTGCTGCCGGCTATAGAAATTGAACATTGTGGTAACCGTGAAATTTTGAATCTATTTGATGGTTCTTCTGTTTTCTGATGCAATTTACATGGCAATTGAAGAGCTTTGTGATATAATGATTGATGGAGTTCCTCTCGATAGCCCCTTTTAGTTACTTTTCCAGAAATGTTTAGATAGTGTTTTTGAGAGAGAGCAGTAAGGCACTTTAACCATAAATACTGCAGTGATTGTGGGTGTTAGGATGTTTAAAACATTTATAATGTGGCTTTTACATTTAACTATAGCTGATGCAGCTATGTTCAACAACTAAGATAAATGGTAAATTGTGCCGTGCTATTTGATTAATAATATCAGTTCTACTATTAAGATTATTAAGTTTTTATAGGAAATTTCACATTTAATTTGGCGATTATTGCACAGGCGGCTCTGTCATTTAAACTTGGATCTATGTTAATTGATTCGCACGGCAAGATATGGATGAATTTTCCAAGATGGGATTTATTGTCATTCTTGTAAAACAATCAGCAAAGTCTAAATTTAGGTTCATCACAACGGTTGGAGAAAAGTCTTGGTGTTAGGTAGATGATTTGTAGACATACATTCACACCATTTTTCTTTAATATCCAGACTAAAGTAGAGCAGATTTCAGGTTGCATTTTCATTTTCATTCACTTTCGTCTTGTTGAATACTTGAAATTTTACAAGGCTGCTGAGATGTACTATAACCTGACATATTTAGGGTGTTCAGCTGCCCCTGTATTAAGCATTTCCCCATCTCCTTCAATATCAGGTGATAGTGACTCATTGGTTGGGCTTGGGATGATTCCTTGTAAGTTCTTCCATATTTCCTTAAAACGCATGATATGGTTGCCGGTATCTAAAATATCTTGTCATTTATCTGCAATGCTTATACTTTTCACGTTTCTTCATTTATATGGCATACTTCCATAAGTTTTGGCTCTCTTGTTTACACTTTCTACCTGCTCTTTGATTCCAGTGATCGTGTGATCTTGGGACCCTGCATTTTATTATTTGATAACTGTTTATTATTAGGTTTGGATTCTTATTCATGATAAGAACAAAAACAACAGGAGCTGTTTCATTTTCCATTTATTTCTTCAATTAGGCAAAGAAAGAAAATTAATAATAATTCTAGGTTCCGAACTTTTCCCCATAATATGGGTTGGCTACATATACCTTTTTTCTCCATTCTATTCGATTCATTGCTAATTCTATTGGATGATTCACGCAACCATAACTGTCCGTGTTAACTTTTAAATGTCTCCCTCTTTTAACCTTTTGCACTAATATCGATTCGCGTCACTTTTGTTTTAAGTAAGATATGTCCCAACTATCCAAGTTGTCATTTACTTCATTTATCGTGAATTGACGCCATTGCTACTTTTGGCATGCATTCTCATTTGTTATCTTATTTGCTCGAATAATGCTATCTAGCACCCGTGTATGTGATATTATATAATAGGTACAATTAAATGTGAAATTATGTAAGTCATTTAATTGAACTTGTCATGTAACGCCAATAGTGCTGCTACCTAGACTGGTGTTACACCAGTGGTGCTAAATATCACTACTATATTCGCTCTAGCATGACCATACATTCAGCTGAATATCCCTATTTCTACTATGTTCATTTTATAAATGTTTTGTCCTTTAGTAGCCCATTTAGGTTTTAATCTTATATGGATCTTCTTTTCACATGGAACCCTTGTAACAATTCTCCCCAATCTGCTTTACTTCTATGCATTACATCTTTGAGTCCCCATCGTTAATGGTACCTAAGTATGTATAACAATTTCAATTTAGATTTTCATTCATGATAAGAACTTTAGAAGGATTATATTGAGAAGAAGAATTTTATGTGCCTGCATTTCAAGTTTTCACCTTACCTTATGGTTACTTCCATTGATAACCATCATGTGTCTTCTTAGCACCTAATATACTTGCCATCTCATGTACACGGTGAATTTTTAACTGGCCAGGCAACACATGGAGCAAAAAGGTCCCCTCTAAATATTCCTGCTCACTTTGCCGTGTGCTTAAGGAATGGAGGGCGAGCGGCGATGGATTTTCTTCAAGCCACTGCCAGCTCGCTTGGTGGGCCGAGCTGAGCATGCTCAGTCCATAAATATCCCTGGCGTCAATACATTGCCAACATGTCGGAATTAAAAAAATATTTACTTTACAATAAAAAATGAAATAAAATAAAATAAAAATTAATATTATTTTAATAAGAGTGTCAGGGATGCTATATGCTGGTACTCTTAAAAAATGGCATGTCGGCATGTCCGTATCGTGTTGTGTCCAATACACTTGTACGTGGTGGTGCTTCCTATGATAGAGCCATATTAAAATGAAACTGGATAAATTGGCAAATGTTAGGAAGGAGGATTTGTTGAATTACTGTTCAATTGTTTCATTTGAGCAACATTCATTAATTGACAACAAATCAAAGGTTTGCATAAAGTTACAAGTTCTCAATTCCGATAGTACAACTATGCACAGTTCTTCGGCCATATATAAGTTTGATCTTCTATCTAGATCCTTTATAGAGAAATTAGTTGGTCATAAGTATGAGAATTTAACATGAGGTAATTGCATTACCAAGAACCATGTCGGCTCTGAGTTATCACCTTCAGTGTATTCCTAACGCCAGGTTTTTGTGCTTTCTGCCATTAGTTATATGGATTAACGTTGTATATTATCTGCACAATTGCTCTCTAAAGGGGGGAAGTTCTTGTGTTTATGTGTACGTAGAAGCAGTTGCCATGTCCATATACTTGTAGACGAAGATGAAGGAAACAACCAATAGAAGTGAAGAAAAGGAAGCTCAAGAGAAAGTCTTAAGGTTATTTTTGTGCTTATCATAAGAAACTGGTTTGTTAACTGCAAATATTAACTGCTGATGACTAGTCAGCTGCTCAGAAAGCAATTGAGGAACAGTCTGTGGATGACAAGATACATATGTTTTCTATGTTTTTCTAATTTCAATATGTTATTTTTCCCCTGATGACAACTCTAAGATGCCCTTGTTCTGTTTTGGCCAGTCATCAAAGAATCCCATAACCTTCTCTTTACCATGCATAGAACCTTTTAAGTACAAGGTCGGGAAGTTCAAAATATGCCTTAGGATTTTGCTCCCTACTTTTATAGTGGCATGGATTAAATGCCTGTAAGTTTTTTTTTTCGTATCTTACAGCATGGACGAGAAGCTGCATATTTTCAAATTATACCTTCCCAACTTTTTCATGTCAAAAAGTCAGATATTAGTAAAACTCAAATAATTGATCTCTCGGTTGACAACCCTTCTAAATTTTAATTCCTGCAGATCCACACACTCTTATACATGCATAATGAGAAATGAGAAATGCGAAATTGCAATTGTCACGATTTCAAATCACTCTCTCAATCTTTCAACTTTCTGAATGGAATACTTCAGTTCTTTCTGGATGTTCAGCCTTGAAGGCGACAGAATTATATCTTTCCAAACTGAGCCTGCTTCAAACGCTGGATTAGGGCGTCTATAGAGTTCAAATATGGAATCTGCTGTGTCATTCAACCTTCCTACCATTTTTAAGCAACTTATCTCATCTGGGTCAACCAACAAAGTCTTGTCTTTGTCTTTCCATCCTATTAACTTCTCAATCACAGTCATGTTAGTATCTGATATATTTGGAGAAAACACGAACAGATTGGTAGATGTTGCAAAGAAAAAACAGCATTTTGGTTTAAGCTAATGATACCTTAGGCGGGCCTTCTAATGCATTGGTAGAGTAGAGTCTAGCATTGTCTACTAATTGGCAGTATGTCATAAATGCATCTGCAAATCGCTTGTGCGATTTAAGCTGTGAGTTCACCCTGACTGCTCTTCTACACATTATAGCTCTCCTGTGAAAGGGAAGAAACAGCATCGATTTTCTGAATTCTCTTGAGACAAATCTAATCAATGAAAAATCTTTCTTCTTCAAATATAATTGTCGAACACAGATAGTATGATACGAGATTTCTTTTTTGGGGATTTTTTTTATCATGGATCCTTTCCCTTTTGTTCCACTTGAAAAGTTACAAGAAGGATAAATGGTAGGTCATGATGTGTTTTTACCGTACATTTTATGCTGATAATGAATATATGGAAATAAGATTAGTAGCAACATTTATGTTTCGTGTACCTTATTCCTCGGATAACTGCTAAGTAAGCATCACAAACGACCCCAACCAACTCTATTCTGTACGGCCTTCTCTTTTTAGCTCCATCCTGTTCTTGTTCTTCGTCAATTTGTTCCCAGTACTTCTCAGTAACGGTTCCATCTTCATCCACCTTGTAACCATCTCCCATGCGGTACCTGCGGCGGTGAACATTCCTGGCCATGGTTATTGTCTGCACAACAAATGGCACCCATGAGAGTGTGCCATCCATGATCACGTCTCGCCTTTCGTTGAGTGCTGTTACAAGGAGGGATGATGCTGCGTCTGTAGATGATTGGTGTACCTGCAGAATGCAATTGGATACTGGGTACTTTTTGAAATACTTAGGCAATAGTTTTTGAATTATTTATCGAACAATATTTCTGGAGTAATATTGGAGTTCACACTGTGATAAATTAGTGGTTGAAATTAGCAAATAACTCTATAAACTGGAAAAGATGGGTCAGGGACGAACTATCTAAGGAGAAATCAAATAGTTTCTGAAAGAAGGCAAGAATTGGAGTTTGAACAGGTGATCTTTTGGTTTTGATGTATAAAATTTAGCGTATGTTTGGTACACATTAAAATTCTCATTCTCATTATTCTACTCATTTTCAACCACACATTTTTCAATAAAATAATATTTTTCATCACATCAATAACTTTTCCTTCTTTTTCAACTACACATTCTCCATCAATTTACNATCTACTATTCCAAAATACATTCTTCCAAAATAATGTGGTTCAAACACACCCTAAAGTTATTTCGTCTGATACATTACTGCTAACTGATGAACCGTTGTGGTTTCATAATGTGAACACTGATCCATCTAACCAAATTCACATGATTGTCCAATTCTGATATGGAAAATAAGATAATGGTGCTTTCTTAATTCTATCCTAATAGTTGAGATGTAATTGTATTTGTTGGTCTTCTCCTTTAGTGGGGCCTTAAAGGATATCCTAATAGTAGTGAAGCATCTTGATTGATCTTCAAGTATGTTTTTCTACATTTTATATTTGTATTTTGTCTTTTTTGATACCATTCTCTTGTTTTCTGGTATGATTTTTGGCCCTATTCATACAGGTAGTTCTCTTCAGCATTAAAGGAGTTTGGTTTCTCAGAGTTAGCTATGGTTAGAGGTTGTTGACGAAATAATTTCATTCTGACCAAGGAAGAGAATGTTTAAGTGTCAAGACTATCTGGCTAACTTCTGCTCTCCAATGCCAAATGATTTATTGGAAGATACAATTCATTGGACCCTGCCATAAATTGTGAACAATATGCGCGGACTACAATGGCTGCCTATAGAAATTCTATTGTGCTTCTTTTTTATATCTATTAACCATTTTGGTTGTTTATGCCATAAAATGCTAAAAACTTGAGATAGAATATTCAGATGGAAAATGGTGGAAGATTAGGCTTGTGTGGATCCATGAATTTTTATTTTCTTCTAGTATTTCGCAAGACATTTTAGAAGTTAATAGCATGCACACTGGTTGATGAGAATTGCAGTGTATGTTGCATATGGAAGAGACTATGAGTTCATAGCTGCTCAGGTTGAATTTATCTGCCTGTGGGGAAGGTATCAGATAGGGTTTTAACAAAAATCAAGACCTCGGGAGCTATACTCATGACATGATCTCACTTATAATAGAGAAAAATACCTATGTGCAGACTGATTCCAACAATGGGGAAAATTGAGAGTTGTGCATAATTTAGGGATTGATACATTAGATGTTCTGAGATTGGAATAGATTGTTTGTTTCCATATAGTATGAGGTTTAGTAGCCTCGCTTCGTATAGATCAAGGAAATGCCCCTGGATGGTGTCAAATTCTTTCTATCATTAAGAAAATTTCCTTCGCAATTCCCCCCCACCCCACAAAAGAAAGAATGCTTTAAACTCCATATATTTCATGTTTTACTGTTCAACCTCTTAAAGAAGTGGTGTCTGCCTGCTTTTATAATTGTGCAAAATACTATTATGTGTACTACTAGGGGAATCCTTAGTCTCCATGATTTACGTGCATGGGTGTCTTGAAGAATTCAGTATCTTCTGCAGCAAAAACTAAGGTATCATGCCCCAAAAAGAGTTGCTTACAAATGATGGATGTCAAAAGTACTTTCTTTTTCACGACTGGAATTGAAGAACGGAGCTTTGGATTTTTTCTTGGAGAAGACAAGGATAACACATACATACCAGTTCAGCAGTTTGAAGCATGTCATGGTGACCCCTTGAGCTAAGGGCTTTATAAATTACGTCGGACTCTTTGAAGGCGTCTGCTTCTATCACCACTGCATTTCCTGATGTTCCAGCCCATAATGGTCTGTTTCAATAGTGCCAAACTTCATTAGACCACAGGTGCGAGTTCTGATTTTTCGTGCAAAGTTAATTTTTCTCACCACTCAAAATCACGATTTTAATCATTGAGCTTCATTTTTCATCATGTTTTTCTTTTGGATGTTAATAGCATATTAATGTTCTTACTCTTTTAGAATGTCTTTAAGCACGGTACTCTTGCCAGCCCCCATCCCTCCACCCATGAAGAGGAGAACAGGGCTTCTGTCTTTATGAGCCATGGGAACCATAACATCTGTGCACTGTGAATCGTCAAGGGATACAAGTCCAATGGCTTTCATTTCCTCTAATAAGGTAGTAAAAACTCTTGCCACCTTCAGATTCTTTGTCACCCTTTCAAATCTCTGCTCTCTTTATCAACAAAAAGCAAAAAGCAAGGTAATTTAGCTTATTTATTACTAGGAAAGCACATAACAATTAGTTAAATTTATAACATTATTCCCAATTAGTGGAAACTGTTAATTTAGTGCCCTTGAGTTTTTAAAAGTTGTTAAGAATGCATTCACTGTATAGTTATTGTTAAGGGTGTGATAGAATTTAGAGAAACTTGCACTACTGGTCCCCCAACATATTGTCCGAGCAGCAAGTTTCCTTCAGCCTTTAAAAAGGAGCAATTTAGTCCTCAACATATGGTTGCACAATCAGTCCGCCACCAAAACCGTCAAAATCTCCAATAAATATTCACTTGACATTGAAATGTCCAACTTTGCAAAGCTAGATTTTGTTTCCCAACTTGGGTTGGTGCCTATGACTTTGTAAGTGATGCATGTTTCTATGATAGCTAACTTCATTTTAAAGGTTGAGGACCGACCACCTACTATGGACAATACGGTGAGGAAAAATGTTGCACCTTTACCTAGAACCAAGTCAACCTCTTTGGGGTTAATTCTCTGGCTGGATTTTTTCTAAGCAAATCATAAGTTTTCAATTTCATTGCATACCTGGTGGCTGCCATTACAATGTGCTTAAGCTTCTTTTTTGGCTCAGATTCAGCTCTCAGCACCTGAAATCATATATCCCTAATCAGCAAAATTTACATCAAATGAGGTGCTTAATTGTGTACCTAAATAGTATATTGAATTTGTATTATGTTACCTGACTGATCATATGAGAAGCATGTTTCCAATGAAATGCGAAGTAACTAAGAATACATCTCTCAAACTCTTCCACCAGCTTTATAAAGAGAGTATCAGCGTCAGGTTCGCCAGCAAAAAATGCATATATGTCTTCTTCACATCCATCAGATTTTCTAATATAATCAAAAGCTAATTTGCAAAGATTTGGACATTCTCTTCTGTCACTGAATCCCATTTGTCTGGCTGCATGATCCCATGAACATGTGTAGTGTGTGAGAAACGAAACACTAGCAAAGATCCAAAAAACACTAACAAGGCGCTTCTCAACGTGTATAATGCACCAGATCCAGCAGCATAGAAACAAACAAGAAGGGATAAGGGATTTGATATGATTTACCTACATAATGGGAGAACCGTTCGAGTTTCACAACCTGGCCAGTATCTGAAACTTTTATCCGAGGTATGATCCTTTGATCCCTTACTTTCTTTAGCCGATAATGCATCACTGCAGCGAGTACTAATACGATGGAAGAGGCTAAAAGGATCTGTGTGCATGTATGATCTGTTGTGGAAAAAACTTTTAATCATTGATCATGCAATGCAGACATATACAATAGCAAAAAAACTGAGCTTTATTATATCCAATAAATTTGAGGGCAGGCCGGGTCGAATATGCATGACATACAACATGTATAAATTCACCTTTCTGCATTTCTTGGCTATCAAAGGTGAAGCGACAATATTCTCCTGTAAATTTGAAGATTTGTATGTATGTATTTTGCACCAAAAACTGCTCAGGGAAGGAGACGATTTGCAGAGATTTGTTTAGATTTGAAGCTGGAGAGGAATTCTAGGAATTTTGAATACGTCATTATAGAATTACTTTACATAAAAGATGATAGTTGTGAGGCCATTTTTCATTTTCTCGCTCTTATTTGGATTTTTTAGATCATAAGAAAGATGATAATAGAAAAGTTATTTAAATAATTTTTCATTTTTCTTTTACATTATTTGAAGTTAAAAAATTAAAACAGGGAAAAATAATATTTGTTTAATTATAGATAAAATTTTTGTTTCTATATTGATGAAATATTAACTTATTATATATTTTATGTTATGTTATGTACATATATTATTATAATAATACCGTGGTTCAGTACAACTTGATGCAAAGCCAGCGTAAAAAATGAAGAATAACACTAACCTAAATTCGTTATTTCAATAGATTAACGGAGGTCGGATATCAAGAAAATTCAATGTTTTGTGTTAATTTATCAAAAATAACCCCTGAAAACTATGGTTTGCAATAGTTCAATAGGTCTAACACAAGTAAAATCGTGCGGCGTAAAAAGGAGAGAAATTTGTGGTAGAGATCTCAAATCTTGAAAAAATGTGTAGGTTTTTAGAAGGTTTTTTAATATACATGTTAGAGTTGAACGTGCATTGCACATTATTTTGATATACTATGCAAGTGTTGTATAAGTAATATATAATATCAATTTTTTGGGAGAATTTGATGAGTCTCAAACGAACTAAATAAAATAAAATTTAAGAGAAAAAAATTGTACTTTTAAAACTCAACTTTTATGATCCAAATTTTTCATGATGATGAAATATTACAAATGAGCAACATTTTTATATTACATTTTGTATATAAGAATTAATTGTTAATACATAAATTTAAACATCAATTAAAATTTCTAGATACATGAATAGAAATAAATTCATCTATAGTAACTAGATTTATATAGATCAAATTTCATTAAGTCTAGATTAATTTGAATGTTAATTAATTGAAAATTAATAATACGAAAATTATATATGAATAAGGATTGTGTAGTATTTATTATATATTGAAAAACGAAAAGTAAGGTATTATTGAAATAATTGAACTGCAGTATGATTAAAATCGTCTAAAAAATGATTCTCTTATAGATGGACCATGTTTTGTAGATTTCTTGAAAAATAATTTTTAAGAGAATGTACGTACGTGTAAATTTATTTTATTAAAAGAGTTTATTTTTAAAAAAAAATAGGAATTTTTTTTAAAAAAATCTCTATTAAGGCTTAATCCATTAAGATAATTTAAAAGTAAAAACATAAACAAAAAATAAGGAGAGAAATATAAATAAAATCAAAAAATACCGGAGTACATTTTTAATCCACCATTATTATATATCTATCAATTTTTTTAAAAAAATTATATAATACATCTGTAACTTTATGTAAATTTACTTAAATAGACATAAATAAAATCAACTAAAATCTTTCTAAATCCATTCATTAAAATTTATCCTCGTTAAATATTTTTGCACTTTTTTATATTTTTTCAGACTTTACTTGATCAAATCTCTAATATTCATAAAACATTTTGTGGCTTTAACATTTGGACAATGTTACATGTACATTCATTTTTTTACATAATCTTTTACACACACTCACTCGAGTTATACTACATGTACAAAGTTGAGTTATAAAATTGGTTGACAAAATAACATTTACACAATCATTTTAAAAACAGATTTTTAAATCATTTGAAATCAAAGGTCTGGATTTTGCAAATACACTTTGTACCCCAACTTTTGTAACTTAATTTTGTATAAATAGCTTTATTACACTCCTCACAATAGGGTGTGAGGACCACACATTAGGGATTTTTTTTTTATTTATGCGGGTTCGTGTGCATGTGAGAGGGTGTAACATTTTCGGTACAAAAAATTCGGTACAAATGAGGTTGTCCTTTACGTTTTGGATTGCTTTTCCAAACAAGCATTGACGGATTCTTCCAAAACTAGGAATTTAGTAACGATCAAATATTTTAGCAGTTCATCTTTTCATAAAACTAGTAAGATGCACGTGCAATGTACGTATCATAGTATAGTTGTCTATATGATAGCATAAATATAAAAAAAATTATTTGCCTTAAGCATTAGTTACATTAAACTTAAAATACTTGAAATGATGATAGGTGATAAAAATAATATTAAGAGATTTGATTCAAAGCTTATTTTTTAAACTTTGCGTTTGAAGGTCTACCTGTTCTTTTAAAAAAAAAAAGAGGGCATAGATGATTATGTGTTGATACCCCGTTAAAGAGATGATGAAGTTCAACCTAACTCTCATTTTTCTACCTATTGAGGTAAAATATTATGTCTCATTCATCTTGTGCTCATAGAATCTCCAATTACATGTATCCGTTGCACCGATATTTAATTTCTTTACCAATACCTTATGCAAGACGTATGTAGTCAGATTAATTAATTAATGATAATAAAGTGCAGAATTTAGGACAAATCAATGGTAGTATTAAAACCACAACAACGAAAACTTCAATCATAGAGGCAAAAAGAATGACAAACGATCACCTAACATCACAAATTTCGTCGAATATCTTTTCAGCATTCTAATGATACTGTACATTAAATCTATTTTTTTTAAAAATCAAAATAATCCACTTCATAGAAAATATTTGTCTACCATCACTGCATGATGTAGGATGATTCTTTTGAAAATCATTGAATTCATTCAATATCACTTTGACGCCATAAATTTACCATTTTAACCGTAAAAATTGAAGAACAATAAAATTGAAGAAATTTGTGTGAGTATGGGGGTGGGGTAAAAAAAAAAATTAACGATTATGATTTTACGTTTAATAATTTTTATGTTTAAACTTAATCGGCAATATATTTATTATTATCGCATTTTAAGTTTTTTTTAAAAAAAATTTAAATCGATCCAAATAGATATTCATATCATGAAATATTGAATCAAATGAAAAATTGTAGGAAAATAAAGTTCGAAAAAAGGACATTGGAATGATGTTGAGATTGAAAAGAAACATAAACAATCACGACTTTACGTTTCACAATTAATGTAAAATCATTTTTCATATCTAAAATTTATCGATCATATATTTATCATGGCCGCACTTCAACATTTTCAACAAATTTTAAATCGCTTAAAATGAATATTTGTAACTTAAAATACTGAATCAAATATTTTTTTTTTTAAAAAAAAGATGGCTCGGCTAACACGGCTCAACCAACTCGACTAGGCTTCGGTGGCCAAATGACATGTGAATAGTGAAAAGAAAACTCACTATTTTTGATTTTATTTTTTGTTTGTTTTCCAGGAGCCCTCCTACATTATGAGGCTGGTGGCTGACAGAGTTGTTCCAAGCTACTCACATTCAGGGGGGTGAGTATTTTTTTGGACATTTTTTATTGCACGTGGGGCCCACCCCATTGAGAGAGAGCCTGTAAAACACCGGTGATACAAAGCCTGACAGAGTAGAATTATTCGTTTTCCAGGGACGGATACAAGGGGGGGTTTGGCTGGGCTATAGCCACCCCCCCTCAAGGCCAAAAAATAAATTTTTTAAAGGTTTTTTTTTTTTATCTTAAAACAGTTTTTCATGTGTAAAATTTTTTTTTTTCGCGTATTAGTCCAGTTTGAAATTTTGTAGCCCGATATTAGATCCAATCCTGGATCCGGCCCTGGCCACCCAACTGCTCTTCGCGACTTCGCGTGCAATATTTTTTCGATTTCTGTTACAAAAGTCACTATAAAATCAACAATTTTGTAACGTAACAAGGCATTGTAGAAATCGTTAAACTATGTTCTGTAAAGAGATATTTCAGAGCTTTTTGTCAAGAGAAGAGATGGTAAATTGTAAAAATTAATTGTTGAACGTATTCCACATGCATCAAATTCTTCGGTTGACAGCAAAATGAAGTAAACATTGTAAATGACAAAGATATCATTCACTTTGGACCGATATCGAGTCCGTATCTGAGTATTATCGTGGGTGGGTCTCTGCTTTCTGTCTGTGAGTTCGCGTGTTGTTGTTTAAAGCATAAGAAATGATTCGCACAACTCCAGCAGCTTCAGTGATTTCAATAACTGCCCAAAGAGGTTAGCTTTCATCATTATTCATAAACCCTTCAAAACCAAAACACATAACGGAATACTCAATTGAAATCAACACCAATGATGCTGTAAGCTCCTTTTATCATATGCTCCAAATGCACACCTATCTCTTCACTTAACAAATTGACAAGTGCTGTTGCCAAAACCCGGAATTATCAAGTTACCGTAGGGTGGTTGAAGTCGATATATTTCCTGATTATATTACACTGAATATTTTGCTTAATTGTTATTGTAGCATGAAAAAGGTTGGTCTTGGTTTTGCTGTTATGGGTGGGATTTTCAAGAGGGGGCATACTCCAAACGTTGTTACTTTTACTTCATTAATCAAAGGGTTGTGTATGGAAGATGAGATTAATGATGTAGTTATGTTGTTCGATAAAAATTATTGAAATGGGATTTCAACCAACTACTTGGACTTGGGGGACTTTGATTTAGGGGTTATGTAGGAGTGGAAAAGCAGAGATGGCTCTTTGTTTGCATAAAGAGGAGGGGAAAGGGAATGGAGGGTCTGATTTAAGATTTAAGCCTAATTTAATTAGTTATGCCACACTTATTCATGGCCTTTGTGAGGAGGGGTTGTTGGACAAGGGTAAACAGTTGTTTTTGGAGATGAAGGGTAAAGGAATTAGGCCAGACTTGATTACATATAGTGGTTTAATTCATGGTTTATGTGAGGGCGGTGAGTGGGAGGAGGCAAAGCGGTTCTTTATTGAGATGGTGGATCAAGGCATACATCCTAATGTGATAATGTTTAATATCTTGATACATATGCTTCGTAAAGAGGGAAAGACGAATGAAGCACGCGGATTGTTTAGCTTGATGATCCAAAGAGGTGAAGAGCCCAATTCTTTTACATATAATGTATTGATAAACGGGTTCTGCATACATAATAGGATTGATGTTGCAAGGGAGTTGTTTGTTTTTATGGCAGATAGAGGCCACAAACGAGATGTTGTAAGCTATAATGTATTGATCAGTGGGTATGGCAAAATTCATAAATTAGAAGAGGCAATGAGGCTTTTTAAAGAAATGGTTTCTGAAGTATACAAGCTAGATGTAATTACATTCAACACTTTGTTGACTGGTCTATTTCACTTTGGTGATGTTAAGGATGCACGGACACTTTTTTAACATATGGAAGTCCATGGAGTGACTCCAGATTCTTTTACATATAATATATTATTGGATGGGTTTTGCAAAAACAATTGCCTCGAAGAGGCAATGGAGCTATTTTACACTCTGGAAAGATCGGGCTTTGATCTTGGCGTAGAAACCTATAATTGCATCCTTAATGGATTGAGTGGAGCAGGAAAGCTTGACGTTGCAAGTGTGTTATTCGAGAAGTTGTCCCAGAAGGGCTTGGTACCAACAGGTTATACGTATACCATCATGATTCATGTACTTTGTAAAGATGGAAAAATGGAGGACGCAAATACTTTGGTTTTGAAGATGAAAAAGGAAGGCTGTGCACCCAATGTGGTCACTTTTAACACACTTATGCAAGGATTTTACAATTATAATAAGGCCCCAAAAGTGGTTGAACTTCTTCAGAAAATGGCTGAGAGAAATATTTTGCCTGATGCATCCACATTATCATTAGTTATAGATTTATCGTCAAAAGATACAAATTATTCGAAATATATAAGTTTGATACCAAAATTGTCTCATGAAGGCTGACTCGAAAAATAAGATGCTACAGCTATCACCATGAACATTTTATCCCATCTCTGGTTCGAAAGATGTATCAACTTCAAGTTGTCAACCAGAAGTTGGGGAGCACAATTGAAATCTCCCCAAGTAGGATTAAAAACTACAAAAAACAATGGACCAACCCACTTGGCATTTATCAAAATTTGGCAATTGCAACCTCAGTACTGGGAAGGCAGTTTCCTTGGTTTTCCGTTGTTGACAGTGCTTTAGATTTATCAACATGTGAGTCTTTCATTATAATGCTTTCTTAACTCTTGAGTTGCATTGCCTCAAACTTTCTGCAATGAAACGATAGTTCCACTTACACATGAAATTCTGTTGCATATAGCTTTTTGATACTTGTTGGTACATATTTTATCACATAATATGACTAGCAGCAGGTTTCCTGTTTGTTAATAACTGGAGTCGCATGTTCTGTATTATTGGCTGTAGAGCAAGATACATGTGATTCTCTGATTAAATGCTCTGAAAGGCTTAAATGTTTACCAAGCGAACTTGTTGTATACTGCAAGGATGTAAGATTTTCCTCTGGATCTTCATAATGGTTTGATGCAGATGTTGATGCATTATGCATATGGTATCTTAGAACTCCATTAAGCTGGGCAGTTATGATGTTAATAACCAGTCATTGGTGCCAAAAAAGTTTGTTGGTGGGGGTGGAGCTTCGGGGCACAACAGGTAGCCAATTAAGCCCTTGTTTTACAATCATTATTTTCAAGCTCTTTTTTCTACGTACTCATTTTTCAACCACACATTCTCACAATAAAATATTATGCATGTAAACCAGAAAGCTTTTCTCTACTTTTTAACCATACATTCTCCTATAAATCACTATTCAAAACTCTATTTTCTTCAAATAATGGTTGTCAAACAGGGGCTAAATTCTCAAACGTGATCCTTTATCTGCTTAACATGAAGCTACTGCATAAAGTAATAATTTTTAAGCAAAACCACATTCGTTTTTGTTTTGGCTAATTTCTTTTATCTAAATTATGCTTTGCAGATGCATGGTGGTGAAATTGGTCGGAAGGAAGGTGTAAAGAAAACAGGGTCTACTAAAAACTTGTTTTCTGATTTGCCACATTGTCCTATAACACAGAAGACTCTCAAAAAGACTTGAGGGAACTCAACTTCATCATGTTCATATTTGATAAAAATATCCCGCTACTTAGGATCACACGTGGCTTTATATATTGAACTGGAGTATCTCCGTTGAAGGTAAAATGACCGAGTATGCAGTTATTGCCAAAGTTTTTGCAAATATAGTACTAAAAAAAATCATAATTATGCTTCTACAGTTCTACTGGTGTTGTTTTAGATATTAATTGTCTGCGTATTGTATGAACTGCTTTTATGCTACTTTATCATGGACACTTGGGCTTATCTGTTTGGTTGTCATGATTTCATTTTGTGGTGAGGTTTTAATGAACATGGAAAATTGAATTCAATGAATTTTAAATACTTGTTGTCATGACATATTTTTAACCACCCCCATGTGAATTAAATATTGTCAAAAAAAATGGCTCTATCTATTTGTGTGTATTCTGTAGGCCTTCTGTATGTTTTTTCTGTACACACAACATTCCTCCGTAAATATAGCGTGCAGGTCAACTTAGACGTCAAACATTACAGTAGTGTGGTTGTTCTGAGTAGCAAATGATTGGAGAAAGAAAACACTATAATTTCTCTAATATTGTACAGTATTTGTAGATAATGATTTAAAGTGAGGTCTCTCTTTGCGATGACAATCCCTTGTGGTTGTGATGCCAAACAACATCTATTGTTTGAATAGATCTTTATATGAGTGGCTCAAATTTTTTGAGCCATCATATGATATAAAGTCACTGAAGTAATGACAAATCTTTTTTTTGACTTTAAAGAAATTCCCATGACCATGACATTAATCCATTGGAGTATTTACACACTTGGTTTCTCTTTGTTGAGAAGCATATTAGGGATATAGACAACCGAGATGTGTGATGTTTCACGTCCTAAACATCTACCTGGTATTATAAAGATAATGGAAAATGTGTAGATGAAAGTAAGAACACAAATTCTACAATCACACGAAGAAGCTGGACTGCAAATTGAAGACTAGGAAGCGAACGCTAAATTCACTGCCTAGTAATCTACTTGGAAAGAAGACTTGCTGACTTTTCCTTCATGGTGATGACAGTTTGTCTGGCAAAAAAGAAAAGAAAAGAAGTCCTTATTTTGTGTTGAAGCAACTGGTAAGAAGGATGCCTTCTAACTGATAATCAACTATTAATCTATAGGAAGTCATTTCCCTTTACATTAAAATGATATAGTAATAATTTTGCTCATCAAAATAATTTATTCACGCCTTCATCGAAAGGAAAATATGAGCCCCCTAGCTAGGAAGTTTTATCTCTGATGGCTTATATTTATCTATGGGGAAGAAAAACCATTCATGTCATATTTTGTACTTTGAGCTCAATGGAATAAAGGATAAGCATCTCGCATGTCTCTTTTTCTTAATCATGTTGAGCATGCCAAACAAGTCATCAAAGTGTAAATGGCTTTTTACTTGCAGCATAATCTGACTGAGGGCCCCTTTGGAATGGCATTTGAGAAGTCCAAAACTACTTTTGAGATTAAGAAGTTGCTTTTTAATCCGTTTGAATAATTTTTTGAAAATGCTTTGTCTCGCTAAAAGAGAGAAAACAGGCTTCTACAAGGCGAAAAAGCAAAAGCAGAAGCCCTGCTAAATAGACCTTAAATTATTTGATGGAGCACTTAGAATTTAAATGGTAAAGAGAGAATTTTGGGATGAAGCTTAGCTTTGTGATTTTAAGAAAACCTTTTGTGTAGATTCAACCTTGATCTTTTCTTCAATCAATAGACGAGGATGCCATAACCCCCCACCTAGGCACAGGTAGATTTTTGTTAAAAATAAAACTCGTCCTTTTCTTCTCTTTCTAGTTCCCAAGTTCATATATCTTCTGAGTCCATGCTGTGACCCTGAACCCCGTTATCCGTCATGCCTCCCCACTTTCCTGTAAACCAAAGATTGATAATACGTAATTGGAATAGCATGATGTACGTGAATGAATGAGATTCTACATGTATATCTTTATGTGCAGTATGCATATCTAGTAGGATCATAACCTGTTTATCTAATTGTTGGCTTAGCCCAGACCCTTCTCAAGCCCATTTCAGTTTTCTGTAAGTAATTTTTTTTTCTTTTTTAGTTCGGTCCTGGATCCGCCCCTGGTTGTTTGTGCTTTCTCGGCATCCATGTCTAGCACTATCATCTGATACTAACCATCAATTAAGATACGGAAATTGCTGAGAAAAGAGAAATTAAACAATATATGTAGAACTCATTTGACATTTAGAAAAAAAGTTAAAGAAACAATTGAAAATCACCTTCTTCTAACAAGTCCAGAAGGAAGTGATTGTGCTTGTTGGTTGATTTTCCTTCTTGCATATGATTTATATAAGTATATAGGCATTTCTATCATGAAACTGCTTCATATATCTCTGTAGAGCTGCATTTCTTGGTTGGGGGGAATGAAGCCTGGTCCGAAATCATCCAGATTACACCATGCAGTTTGCATATGAAAGATTTCGCACCAGACGACATTCCCCTCAACGTATCAGAGAAAGAGAGAGAACGCCCGGGTGGTGGTGTAGATGATTTAGCCATGCATTATTTTTCATGGAGTCCTTGATATACACGAGAATCTCTGTTGAGTCATGTGACATGGGAATCCATTTTCAACACCTCCCCTATACACTTTTCACACGTAGGGATGCCACTTATTGAGAAAATGATTGACATGTATAATTTACAACTTCTTTGGGAATCAGATTATCAAGATAAGTATTTCTTTTTACTTATATGAGCTGCAACTTTCTCTATGAATAAACAATAATACTTAAGTCAACTGATGAAGAACTCAAATAATAATTAAAGCAATTCAAAAGATTTATAAACAATGAAGTAAGTGGAAGAGGAAGATTTCAACAAGTATTTGTTTGATCTTGATAACAAGTCCTAGTAGCAACGTAATCTACTTATGCTTCCTACTCAAGAAGTGATTGTGGTGATGGTGAGAGTTTAATTTTAAAAGTAAAAGAACATAGGTAACTCGAGTTTTTCAAGCACTGAATCATCATCGTGATTATGGGTTTCTTATATTTTTATTATTGCACCATAAAATCATTGTGCAAATGAGATTAAAGCGATTTCACATCTTCTTAATCCGATGAAGAGGAGGCTAAGCTTTTTTTTAAGACATTTGTTTGTGATTAAAAGCAAAAAAGCATATTTGACTAATCTTTTAGAATAATGAGATTTGTCGAACCTTGGTAAATAAAAAAATCATATATGAAAAGTACGAACATGCATGTGTATGTTATATTTTGAAGGTTGACTTGATAAAAAGATGTGGAGG